TTAAACCAATCGACACAACTGATTTAGAATAACAGAAAATATGTGTGTCGTCTATTAGGTACTTAAAAATATGTGTGTCGTCTATTAGGTACTTAAAAATATGTGTGTCGTCTGTTAGGTACTTAAGCGATCAGTTATAACAATATCTGAACAGACCTAAATTTTCTCTATTTGTTTAAAATCTTGACCTCAGTATTAAATATTATTAGAAGTGCGAAAAAGTTAGTTTCTTAAATGTTTTGATCAAAATTTATTAGTTAATCAATAATCTCGTACATTTATATGAGGGAGCGGCGAAAAGTTCACGAACCAGTCCACTTCATCAAAACTTTATTTTCAATGACAAAACAACATGTGGACAAACGTTGTCATGCAGTAAGAAAATTTTTTGGTTTTCCTACTATAAAATGGCTTTTTCTTTAATTGCACCCCTCGAACTGCAAAAATGACAACCGTAATACTCTGTAATATTATAGTTTCACTGGATATCAGCAGTTTTTATACAGCTCGACATAACAAAATTGCTCATGACTTTTGACCCTTAGAATATTATCAAGGTGAACCAATTTTTCATCTGCAGTGACAGTTCTCCACAGACAAAAGATTTTTGTCGTGTTTGGCAAGAATCGAAATGCATTTGACGAGATGTTGTCCAAATATTTTGCACTGAAAATTTAAATAGAACTCATTTTACGTCTTTTGAATCTTTTCTACAATTTACAAACGTCTTAAAAATGTTAAAAGATCGAGATCAAGATTTTTGTCAATTCCAATGTTGATAGAGTGTGGTGATTATCCAAAATAGTTTGCAAATCATTACTTAATTTCTTGTTGTTCATGTAATGCTTCCAGCTAAATAATATCCAAAGGTTTTATTTTCGCTTTTACTCTTCTCTTCTTCATTAAGGAACAACAGAAAGTATTATGCATCTACCGAGTCCGCTTCCATATATTCTTCTTTTCATTAAATACAAGTACAAATGAACATTAACTGCAAAACACTCAAAACTGAATTTCAACTTGTATTCAGCGTCCAGTTTTTTAAAAAGATAGGCCACTACGTTCATTTGTACACACCTAAAAGTTTTAATTCGTCGACATATTTTCTTAAGTTATCGGGATCTCAGATTTAACAACATATTTTCTTAATAGGTACATTAGTGTGAGGAAAATTCAGCAAAATAAATATATTTAAAAAACCTTGTATAGTTTAGTAAAATTGTTGTATACATTTAGGCACAAACGCGCGTGAACGCACATTGTATTTCTATTATGTTTTTCTTTAAAGTCAAATTCATATCTTTTACATCGTATTAATTATTAAACCAAATATAGCAAGTAGCATTTTCGATGAAGATACAATCAGATTTTCGTTTTGTTAGGATTGGGGAGAAAGGCAATAATGTAAGATGATTAAAAAAAAAATCAAAACATGGTCCAGTGGATAAAAACGTTGGCCAAAAGAGTTGTGAGTTTAATACCTGACTACTGTAGTGGTGAACAAAAAACTTGGAGAGTTGAGTTAAAGGGAGATAACTGAGACATTCAGAAGAGGCATGGCACATGGAACTAGAACAATCTACCCCCGATTGACGGAGCGGAAAAGGACGAAACGTCCTGAATATGGCAACAAAGGCGAAGACAACAGTCCAAACAATGTAAATGGCGTAAATACTTACAATACCTCATCTCAGAAATATAGAAAGAAAATCCTTATCAATATTTATGCTTGTCTTTTTCCAATTTTGTGATCATTTTCTGTGACGACTTGATATTCTCTGTACATATCAAATTGACTTCAGTAAAAGGAGAGAAGAGAAAGGAAAGTAACATCAATAAGCGCAACTTGACAGTAAAAAGAAAAGTTTCAATGGTACGATTGAGATAATTTGTCAAATAGTCCATTTCAAAAGAGAATGAGATACCAGGGATTCGTATGTAGATTCTCATGGCAGCCAAGTTCTTCTGGTTTAGATCATTGGTGTAAAACAATCTTCCCTACTCTAAATTTCCCTTACTTTGTTCATTTACTATCTTAAGCTTAATTAATATCAGGACAATAGAAACTGGCAAAGAAGCCTTGTGAGGACAATGTATGAAGTTATTTTCATTTATGAGAACATTTTTTGGAAAAGAGGAGATGAATAGCGAAAACAGAAGCCTGAAGGAAGAAAAATCATGACAAGATGCTATACTTCAAATGTATTGTTCATTTTTAGCATCGCCTATTGATTATAGATGTTGATTTTAAACACTGAACAATCCTACGCATTAATTAATTTGATTTGGGTGTTATGTCTCTGAATAACTACATTTTGATTAAAGCATCAATCTAGAATCTATTCTGACATTTTACCATATATTGTTCTAAACTTTGCCCTATTTTTTTCTTGAAGAAGGGTTAAAAGTAATACGATTGAATAAAATATTGAGCAAACTATTTATCTTTTTGATTATAGACAAATGAAGCTATCAAAATGTATATTCCTTTAAGTTGCAA